GAGGCCGGCTAGATCAGTCATGATCGCAGCCGTAACAAGTACAAGTAAGTACCTTCACTCAAAAGACAACCGGCTGGTCAATTCACTTGGCGATTACATCACTGTATCTCGCGTACTCTGCGGCAGCTGGAGCCACTTTAATCAAAGGATTTTGAATCTCCGTCGGATTTAAATACTTCATAGTCATAACATTACTTGTCTTCATGGTTAAAATAACTAAAGGGCAGCCCACAATATGGTTATAACTCATCTCGTTTCGATGGTTGTGTGCTCACATCCATCAGTTTGATGTCTCACTGTGTCAACTTCTCTCACGTTCCCTGCGAGCAGCTCACACGCATTGAACTTACTACTGTCTGAAGTTGTACAGAACACACATTCATACAGACAGCTGTCCGTCCCTTCCCCAATTAAACGTACGTCCCCAGCCAGTACAACACACCTACACCGCCTGAACACAAATTACTTTAAAACGGCTGACACCACTGTCTCCTAACTCTCTGGTATAATGTAACTTCGTCACTACGTCCCCTGACCAGTAATTCCGTGTCGTCTGCACCATCGATCCCTCCTCCTAGTGTCTTCTGTCTTCTACTAACCACGATAAGCATTAATTATGATTGTAAAACTGAATGAATTTACTACTTTAACCGTTACATTTGCTTCGGTTTTGGGATTAACTGATTAATAAGGTCTTTTACATAGGCATTCTTTGCAGGTCTCTATTGGTCCAACCTCTGCACGGTCTTCCAGCGCCTCTTAGCAAAGTTGTGGTGTTGGAGACAATCTTGACGTTTTCCGAACTTGTTTCGAAATGTTAACTTGTTGACGCCCTCTGATCCCTTTCTTGGATTTTTTACCTCTTCTCCCTCCAGGGAAGTACTCTCAGGGTCGAACGTGTGCTGAACTATTCCGATTCTTTCAATTCTTCCCCTTTCTTTCACTCCCTTGTTTAACTAAAAAAGCATGTTTTTCCTGTTTCCCTTCTGTGTCTTCTAGCTTTTGTCCAGACAACAGATTACTCGCGAACTCTGCATATCTCGTTTCGAGCGTGCCTTGGAAGGGCGCCAGAACTCGCCCGCTGCGCAACTTGTTCGACAAATTCTGTTAGAGCCTCTGCAGCGCGCAAAGCGGCGGCCTCCTGGTAACGTTGCTGACCTCACTGCATCCTGTTCCTTCAGTCTTTCCTGCGCGGATGAGGCCTTCCTTCGTCTGCCTCTAAGCCGGCTTATCGACCCGGCATTTGGGTACGGTTTACTGTTTTCTGCAAGTCATACCGAGACTGTTAATACACATGCTAAAACGACGATCCTAAACCTAGTACATGTTTTCTGCAAAATTATCCTCACGTTCTCCGTCCGATTACAATGAGTATAGGTATACAAGCAGAGGATGGCTGTTCTATCGTC